ATGAGGATTTGTTAGAGTAAGCTCGGATGCGTACTGTAGATGAGGTGGAGTCAAGCCTCGCCAATTCTGGTTGACCACCCTCACGAAGCATATGCTGGGGCGGGCATCGCGTGCTGTCGCACAGCGCCGTTGCGATAGCCCAATGCTGGATGGATTATCGTACTGCTTGAGCAGTTCGTCAGATCTCTGTTTTGTTTTGTATGTTTGTTTTTTCCTTGGAATCGTTCTACTTCGCATAGTGTCCATCTTTTAATATTTCAGCTGTTTTCGCAGTAAAAAAGGGTGCGTGTGGCCCAGTGGTCGGAGGCGCCTTGGAACACACACGTGGAATCGATCCCCGCGCTCATGGCTCACTAAGCCTTCCATCCCTCCGGGGTCGGTGAATTGGTACCAGAATTGTCTGCGAGGATAGCAGCACTGGCTGGATACATCGGTACGATACCGCGAGTCATTGTAAAGGCCGGATATGCATTCAGTCATCTCCAAATGATGGTTAATGAAGTCGAATGGATGGCGATCCCTAAAGGGATTGTTCAATGCTAAGAGATTAATCCTTTTTTTATTCTTCGCACTAAACTACTGCTCGATTTTTTTCAGATTCTCGTCCAATCTAAACTCTACCTTTTTTCTGTGTGTTGAGGCTTAAATTTAACGTAAAACCACATTTTTTTAGTAAATAAACAATGATTTGAAAATATATTGAGGAACGATCCATGGTAAGTCCATAACGTAATTTGTTGAAAAGCGCACAGCTAATACAAGTGATTATTATGAGCGAAAATTTGCAAGTAGTGGTCTTCCTTGGTATGTAGGTGGATTCTTTAAGTGAAAGTGGAAAATCCACAATAAGTAGACCACGTCGTAGAAGCGAAGGAATTAAGAACAAACCAGTGAATTATTGGATCAAATGAATCTGACAATATTCAGGGAATTTAAAGACGTCAATGTCAAAAAAAAGCAGAGAAGAAGCAGCAAGCATCGTAAGAGCAGCAAAGAATCGCGAATTGAAGAGAATTTCTCGTCAAAAGGAACAGACGATGGCAGCTCAACGAGAGAACGCGATGAAAGCAGCAGAAGATGCAAGGAAGGCGCTGGAATGACAAAGTATGACGACGAGGAATCGAGCGACTTCGAGACTGCGGCTCAAAAGGCCGAGAGACCCCGTCGTCAGGAACGCATGTGGCACTCATCGACAGGGGGTCGCAGGTGATTACTTCGATGTAACGAGAATTTCCGTCCTATAACTAATTTTTAGACACACGTGTACTTGGACAGCGAACTAAGTTCGACGGCACTAGCATTACTATAAGTCAAAAAGAACATTAAAAAAGGCGCACGACGTTAGAAGTGGCTTTAAGTGTGAAAGTAGCATTTAGTTTGCGCACTATTTCACGCTTCAATCCAGAAATTCAGGATATATAGGTATAATTTTTACTCGTAAGAGACGACTCTTGTCTGTTAATGCGAGCCTAATTATTAACCCAGGAGACCAGTAAGCGCAAGGCGGATCCAAGAACAATAATTAGAATAGTGCTTCTATTTTCCAAATTCTTCTACAGTAAGGTCTTAACTTCCAGTCATTGCCTATCGTTTTTTCTGACAGGCTACTACTTGAAATACAACCACTGGGTGCTGAAATATGAGCAAAACGCCGGGCCTCAAGTGGGGCTCGAGCACATCATTACAAGGGCTTAAGTGCTATCCATCACACTAACCGAGGCTCTAGCTATATCTTTTTCTGAACAATATCAAACTGAGTTCAATGCTGACTTGCGCTCTCCAGATCATCTCTGTTGTGGGGTGATTGCTGATATCACCAACAGAGTTAAAGCATGGATAAAGGAAAGGCAAATAAAGGACCTCTGATGACGGATAACGCGTGAACCCGTGGAAATGGTAAAAAAGCAGGTTGAAGCTTAACTGAAGTCCCGACTTTGAAGCATGTGGTCTTGACGATTTCTAATTATTTTAATTTTTTATATGATCCATCTTTACATATCCTCTGTGGATTCCAGCACTTTTTACATTTGGCTCGCTTCTTCACATTCGTAACCCACAATGGTCTTCGGATTTTTTCACGTTTTACGTGTGGATTCGGCTGCTGCTTGAGGATTTTTTCATCTTCGTCATGAATGCCATTGAATGCTAGTCGACTTAATTCTGCCTGGAATCCTGACATAGCTGTACTAGGGTGTTTCCACGTGAACTAGAGGAAGTGAGCATATCCAAGCCAAATCTGGTGCCAATTTTCCGACCCCGGCTTCATGAAGGGCGTCTTGGGCTCGGGATGAGGTGAAGCCAGCGACCGTTAAAGACCTCATGGGAACTTTGTAGAGTCGTATGGAGTAGATATGAAACACACTGCTAAGACGTGTTGCCCTCGAAGCACCTATCTCCTTCGTATGACATTTCTCAACTATTGATTTAGAAGTTTTCTGTTGAATCGAAGTGGACAACACAATTCAAACCGCGTATAGGCAAGAACGCACAACCATGTATGCGCGATTAAATGAGAGGAGTAAGTGAGCTCGGTGCAGCTGGGACAAGTGTCTCAGGAAAAGTATATGGTCACTTTCAGTCCTGTGTTCCACTCTAGGGGTGCTCCACGTGCGAGAGTATTCGCGCAGCAACTCTTTACCTGGAATCGATCCATGGGTAGAAATGTACGGCAAGAAAATTACCTGCGTCATAAACAATTATTTCACTTTGTTGCGTGCAAGAATATCATTATATATCAATATCATAAGCAGTATGTGATAAGTTTTGTCGTTAATGTGCCAAGTTGTACCAAAACAAAAGAAGTGGAGATGCGCCGTAAGTCAAGACGTTCAAATCCGCAACTGAATTGCAAACTAAGACAACACATTTGAAAGTGATGGGAAAAATATCTAAAATTAAGAGTTTCGCTCACGACATAGAAGAAGATATTATCAGCAGGAGTTTTATCGCTTCTATTTATCGCGTACTCAGCGCGTTCAATTGAATGTGAAATTACGTGGCTAAAAAGAAAGGATTAAACTCGCGGCGTTGTTCAATCCCTGAGGGATGCTCCATGCATTCGATCGTTAGAGGCAATTAAATACATATCTGGTCTTCACAATAACTGACTCGCCGTGGCCTACCGATGTATCGAGCCAGTGCTTCTATCCTCCCAGACAAGTCTGCTACCAGTGTCAACCCTGTAAGGATGGAAGGCTTGGTGGGCCATGGGCATGGGGATCGATTCCACGTGTGCGTTGCAGGGCGTCTCCGACCACTGCGCTACACGCACCCTTGGGAGGTTAAAGAGTCGGGTAATTAGAAAGAAAAAAATCATGGTGAAAAGAATAAAGTAACAGAAGGAAAAATAAGAGAGAGTGCGGCTAATTTCCCAATGTGTTACTTCGAGTTTCCCGAAATGTCGCGGTTTTTCAGCTTTTTGAATTTCAATTGAAGATTGATGGATGCCTTTGAAAAGATGTATTTATGGACTCTCTCTCAAGTAGAAAGGCTATGCAAGAGTTTGATAAGCCAATGGCACCAAAGGAGTCTTTCCTACGGATACCAAATTTTGTTGTCATCTTACGTTATTTTCTACAAATACACAAGATTACTCGTACTATTTGCCTTCCTTTAAGCCTGAAGAACATAGGTGAGTAAGGAGGAGAATCCTTATTCTGAAAAAATTGAGCGCAATGAGAACTTTAATGAAAAAGTCTGTGAAATTTTGTGAAATAATTAAGGCGCCATGGCCGCCGTTCTTAGAGTCTCCTTTGTGCCCAATCTATAATTGATTAAGCGACACTCCGTCATGCAGCCCAAGAACTTCGCGAGGAAGACGTCGAGAGTGAGTTGCGTTCTCGTTCAAAAACCTCACTGAACTCGAGGTTTCATTATATATTTGCTCACTTTTATTTACTTATTCATATAATCCTGCCTCGCACATTGTGACTGTCCTAGCATTTCCTCCATTCGGTTTCTGATTTCGCCTCCGTTATCACCGCTTGTAATCGGAATTGCATGTGGTTTCGACTGCTACATGAACATTTTGTTTTCGTCTTGAATTTAACTGTGTGTTAATCTAGTTGATTTCTCTTGGAAATTTAAGACGGCTGTAGGAAAGTGTTCCCAGGTTTCCACAGAGTCAGTTGCTGATCTTTATGGATAGCAGAAAGGTTATCCCAGATGTCTGATACCAATTTGACGACCTCGGTGGGATGGATGGATTTCTTGGGCCGGTTAGCGATCCAGCCAACGATCATGTATATATTGGACGGCATCTATAACCATTGTGATTCCCACTCCTATGGTTGAACACCTCAATGAACTCGGGCATTTGTTGTGTACGGAGTCACTTATATAATTAAATGGACAATTCGTTGCCGACCGCTCGTGAGAACGTGCTAATCAATCTATCCATTTCATGTTGTTAATTTGCTCATTTGTTAGAATCTTTCTAGTTTTTAAATAATGCGGTGAAGGAAGATTAATGCAGCACATTGGCTCTTGTTTGCGTTACCAACTTATTTCAGTAAATGCTCGTTCCAGTCGATTTGCAATGCGAACAAAGGACGATTTTCTTCCAGAGCTTCAGCGGTGTCGAATCTTAAGAGCATCAAAAAGAACTTCTCAGAAGTTTGGAGCTGATCCCGAGCCAACTGGTGACAATCCGGCTATGGAGCGAAAAGGGGCAGACATTTCGACAAAGTGAAGCACGGAACTTTCGTGTTACGTAGCACTCTCCTTTAGAACTCTTGTCTTTGTAAACGTAACAGACGTAACAGATCAACGAACAGACCTACATTCACACAACCTAGTCTAATTCAACAGAGTAATGTTGATTAAGTTGTCACTTGCAGTAATCAAAAGGACAAGGCTCCTCATTGCTAGAGCTGCGATGCTAGAGTGCCTTTAGCAATTTCCGCTCTGTGGCATTCTGGTGCTCTCCCAGTTGACGTTGAAGCTTATCATCAACGTCGGTGGAGTACCAGGCAGAATCTTTGTGAGCTTCGCGAATCAGAATGCATGGTAGTGAAGCGATGGAACTAATGAGACACAGTGAGACGTTCACGGTTCCACGAACAGTTGACGATGGCGGCAGCGAAGAGCTTGTAGGTGTTGGAGGTTCCCTCGAATTCCAGCTATTCTTTTCTTATCTGCACCCATACCCCAATGGTTTTCCATAGTCTTAGGGACAACACTTTTAAAGTGTTCTATAAAATGGAATCAGATCGAATTAAAATACATATTTGGCAAATTGATACATTAGTTCTCCGTCAGACATACGTTTCACCTTTGAATACAATCAGCTAACGGTTCAGTGTTGAAACGAATATTTCTTCAGCATAAGGAGGACAGTGAAAACAAATATTCGTGCATTTTGCGTTTTTTATTCAACTATTCATTCATAAACATGCAATTCGGCACCACCTTATGGTTGATTGACAGGAGCAAATCTGTGTCTAAGTCTTCGACTTCCGGAAGCAAAAATCTGGTCAGAGATCTTGATGTCAGTGAAAACAGCAAGCCTAGGAGAAGAAGGGAGCGGCGCGAGAGAAGACGAAGAGGAAACAAAGAGAATAAGGAAAGTCAAAGAGAAAAGAGTGGAATGTTCGAGGTTGTTTCCTTAATAAATACTGACATAGAGGGAGAGAGAGAAAGATTCTAATGCGACCCTGATTTAGTCAATCCAGAACATTATGCCAAGCGATGATGATCAGAAAGTGGGATCAGCGAGGGAAAAAGAGGTTTCACAGTATAATCCGACTTCAGCGAAAAGTCCTCAACCAATCGAAGGACTAGCGAAGTTAGTTCATTCGAGTAAATTCGAAATATTTGTGGCTTCACTACTTCATAGTTGGAAATAGTGATTTTTCACTGAAAAGTTTCCAAAATGTGTGGTAACGTAAGGTTCAATCAGAAGCGTGTATATCGGAGTGTGCAACTTCGCGAAAGCCGAAGAACAAGTGGAAAAACGGGCGGATTTCCGCGTTTATCATCAGGTTAGTTCGATGATCTTAGATGGATTCAGTGGCGTGTCATATGCTAACACTAGTCTTACTATACTACAGTTGGTTCATCGCCCTCTCCTTGATGACTTGGAGCAGGAACTTCCTCTGATTGTCGTCTACAAAACAGCCAACGGTTCATTCAGGTGCAGTAGTTTTGATGTGGCAGGTGAATGAGTCGTCCACGATGCCACTGCTTTAGACACTACCCCATACGCCGCCGAAAAGTCGGCACAATTTACTACTATTACGTGGACTACGGTGATCCAAAAGTTCCAGCACACGCTTCACTGGATCATCTCGTCAGATTTTACCAGGTATGGCAACAACCGCCATCAACAGGGTAGAATAGCCATATGAACCATGCAATTTCAGGTCAACGCTCAAAGGCATCCAGAACATCGTGACTACGCCGATCAATTCCCGTGGTGGGAGGTACATCTGTGAATCTGAACAGTCGAACAGTGTTTTCATCTGCTAATGTCCTGCCTAAGTTATCGTGCCAACCCATAATTTTGTCTTTCATATCAATGCTTTTATGCATAATGATAAAAACCGTAGTAATATTGTATTTTCAACTCAAAGAACTATACCAACTCCTACAGTATAATGGGAGATAGGAGGATGAACGACTACTGATGGGTCAGCATCAGGTAACAGTCGCTACATATAGTGGAACCTTTGTATTATATAATTGTGCTCCTAGAGAACACCAATTTCGTAGGATGATGTTACCTTCTCGACTTCCTAATAGGCGTGCTTTTTCGCATTGAAAAGTGGTTGCAAGTGTTTGATATTACGCCGCCATTTATATCACCTGTCCTCTAGGTGATTGTCGAATGAGACAGGATGACATAGTAGTTTCCATTAGCCCACATCCCGATCCAGAGTTGGCGTGTCTGGATGTTCCAGAGACGCGACGAGTAGCATATTTTTTGTCTAGATTCCTCACGAGCGATTTCGAGCATCGGTTCGGTGTTTTCCTGTTGTCCAATTAACATCTAACGAGACGCCTTCGGTAACGGCTTGCCCTCGAGTTGCCATTAGGACGCACAACGTGGCCGCCCACCTCGTTTTCGATATTTTGCCGTGAATAGCGACGTACCCAACCCATGATCGTTGATCTTACTCGGAGCTTTGGCTGCTTCTCCCATTTACCTGACACGCGGTATTCCCAACATCGCCTTCTCGACTGCTCTCTCGACGACGATGGCTGCTAGCCTATCATATTATTTACGCAGCGACCAGATGTAGTGCATGTAGTTTAATGCGGAAAGAATCGTACGCTGGGAAAGGTGAGAACATAAGAAGTGTTTTTCGTCTTCACTACGTTCTCGTTGCTCTTCGAACATTCTCAAGTTTTATTGCCGATTTTCTTCTGCTCAGCTGACTTTTCAACCCTGCATGTGGATACGGATATCGTTTAAAGGTACTTATTGCGTTGGCTGCCATGGTGTACCAGAGTATACTCCATTATCCATAAATACCGTATTCTTGGAAGTTAGCCGAAGACCAACCAATATTTCCAAGCTCCATATAGGTCCGCTGCTAATTGAATGTGATTTCCCATTGAAGTAAAATAAAAGGATAAAACTCTCCGCGTTGATTAATCCCTGAGGAATGCGCCATGCATTCGACTTCATTAAGTATCGTTGGAGGTGATTGAATGCATATTTGGCCTTTACAATGACTTGCGGTAGCCTGCTGACTTATCGAGCCAGTGCTGCTATCCTTTCAGGAAAGTCTGGTACAATTTGCCGACCCCGGAGGGATGGAACGTTTGGTGGGCCATGGGCGCGGGGATCGACTCCACGTGTGTGTTGCAGTGGCGCCTCCAACCACTGCGCCACACGCGCCCTCAGTGAAGTAGATCCGTTAATATGACTTTAAAAATGAGAACTTAAATTATTATGCAGATAAAAAATCCCTTCAAATGACTACGGTTTGATAGTCAGCTACTTGATTGTTTTGGATACATGTCGAAGGCGGAGCTGTGGAATACCTTGCCGAAATTCGAGCATTCTAAAGTGCTTCAGCAAGCCACATCGATAACATCGGTGAAAGTGAACATTTATAGAGAACATTCTTCACGAATATTGGAATGTTCTCTATGTAAATCAATTCTAACCTTTCCAAACATTTCAAACGCTTCTCCCATGACCTTCTCTCCATGACGATCTGAAAGCCGTATGTCTAACATTTCGCTGGCGCCTATCTCGTAAAATATCTGCACTTACGGTCCTAAGCTTTGAATATCGCCCTATCAGATCGCAAGGCTTGAGAAATGTTTCCAGCACCCGTCTTTCTGCCTACTGTAGCTCGACTCCGTCCAGCGCAAAGATATATAAACTGCTCCACGGTTAGCTAGCTCATGTAACAGCAATGCTGCCCAAGTCACCGCATTTGTACCTCACATCCATCTCATGTAGTAGAATTCATATGCCAATCTCTTCACTCGTAAGCAACCTCAACACCAGTGATCAGGCTGCGCCTACTCATTACCCGTATCATTGTTGCCTTAATTGTAGAGTTGTATTGTTACAATTGTTGTATAATTATGATAAACGGTTTAATTACCCAAGTTTTAGGTGTCCGGCATTGTGACTGCTAATCACGAGAAGTCCCGCGTGGCGTACACAAAGGCGAGCAGCTAATTCCGACCGAATTGTCCTAACTACTTGGTATTCCTATATTAACGAGCCGTCCCAACAACATTATTATGTCCCCACAAAGAAGGCACGGCTTCATTCTTCAATTCTATTCGATTTTGAGCCATCTATTTTACTTAACATGAGCAGAGTTCTTCAAAAACAGTTAGGACAAAATGAAGTACCACATATTATATTTCGAAACCGACTCTCCTTGAACCTCGGTATCACTAATCAATATGTATTTCTTTGATGAGCTTACACGAGGTTGATAATGATGTTTATTTTCGGCTAACGTTTCGACGTCTTCGTCATCCTCAGCCGATGATCCGAGTCGATGGTCCTCGCTTGTCATTCGTCTCGACGTGGCAGCTTCTCCTTCGTGTCGAGGCAGGTCTTCCTCAGTGGGCCATCTCCTCGAATGAGGCATACTCACTCAGTGATGCCCTTTTATACACGATGCTGATGGTCGATATAATGATAATGTCCGATGATAACAACTTGTTTTTCTTCCGGACATAATCATCGCGCACATCGTGCAGAAGTCGGTGTTATTATCAGCTAGCACAAAGCGTAGTAACATTTCGAAACCGACTTTTCCTGAACCTCGGTATCACTAATCAATATGTATTCTTTCGATGAGCTTACACGAGGTTGATAATGATGTTTATGTTTATGATGAGGACCATCGACTCGGATCATCGGCTCTGAGGAAGACGAAGACGTCGAAACGTTAGCCGAAAATAAACATCATTGTCAACCTCGTGTAAGTTTATCAAAGAAAGAATACATACCACATATTACTTACATTACCGCCATTTCCTTCTAGAGGCAACTGGCCGGCTGAGCTTCCAATCGAGCTCTGAGGCGATTGGTCTGACCGAATGAAATCGTGAGATACACTGTGAACTCGCAGTGACTTCATGAAATCATAGAATTACAACGAAGTCGTGTATTCATTGAGATTCGAGAGCTGTCTTTCAATGACCACCATGATGCGGAGATTTTTGCAAACATGATCTTTCAACATTTAATTTGAACGGAATCACAATTTGTATCCAAACTTTTATCATTCGAAAGTATCTTCAAATAAGTGAACAGTCATTGGCATCGTGGCGTCTCCTATAAAAGAATAACCGCAGCTCTTAAAATACACACTATTTGATCCAGAACTTTTTCCGTGTAGATAAAATAAAGGACTGATTGAATAAAAATGGGCGTTGATCAATCACTGAGGTACGCGCCATGCATTCGACTTCAATAAGCATCGTTGGAGGTGACTGAATGCATGTTTGGACTATACAGTCACTCGCGATGGCCTACCGATGTATCGAGCCAGTGATGCTGTCATCCCAGACAAGACTGGTACCAGTGTGCTGACCCCTCAAAGATGGAAGGCTTGGTGGGCCATAGGCATGGGGATCGATTCCACGTGTGTTGCAGGGTGCCTCCGATCACTGCGCCACACGCTCCTTTAAAAGATTAAAGAGAAGTAAGGAGTTTTAAAGAGTAAAGAGACTACTGAGAGGGAAGGCTTGGTGAGCCACGGGCGCGGGAATCGATCCCAGATATTGTAGGGCGCCTTCGACCACTGCGTCACACGCGCCCTTCTGCATGTAGACAAGAAAAATTCTACTGAATCCCAGACTTTGTTTGATTCCGGTAAATTTTGCAGTTTGGAGCAAACTTTACACAAGTAGGTTGTGAGCGCTTGGTAAAGAAAGGATCAATTTCGATTAAGCGCGATGAGGTTCCACATAAAAATTTCCACTGCGTGACCCGTTTATGTCCTTACACGTGGCTAATTTGACTATATACCTCCGCTCGACGCAACTATGCAATTGGTGAATATCGATTACAACTGTCTCTTTCATTAACTGCTTCTTGTTTAAAATTGAATTATGTACTAAGAGTTTCTAGATATCCATTGTGTCACATTCGTTATCAAGAAATTAAGCAAGGTTTACTTCAGCAAGAAAGATGCACGACCTAATATTAAACAAAAAGAGAATTGAGTTGAGACATTCATAAAGCTGTCCGATAGTAATTGCTTCATACTAACATCAGATGTCTTCCACCTTCTCTGGAAACATGGCTGAGATTATGGCTAGACGTTAAGAGTCGCTCATTCTTTTTCAGTCTTAAGCGAAATTTCGAAGGGGCTGACATAAACCAGGCATCTCCCGCATAATGGATCACTTGGCTTTTGTCGCTAAGCAACTTGGCACGTCCCCAAGGTCGGGGTGGAGGTTAATCGAGGACCAAAAGCGATCTTACGCTTCCCTGAGAGGCAGCTGTATCCTGAGGATGGACTCTCCGTTTCCACTTAGCTGATTTGGTACATAACTTCCGTATTTAAGAAGATATTCATACCTGTGTGTGTGGGTGTGCTACCGTTTATTTGGAGTGTAATATTCGCCCAAAAGCCTGCAAGCTACTGGGAAGCACATGTAGCGCGAATAGGAGTTCGCCTCCAAAAAGCGCTCCGTCTACTCTAAGAGACTGGCAGGCTATGAGACAGTATACTAAAGCAAGCGCTATACGCGGGAAAATAAGTGGGCCTCATTCCCCTGATCCTAAAGTTGCTAAAATGTCAGGGCCATTTTAGGCAGCCTAAATCTCGAATGGCTAAGGTGAAAATCTGTACCTACAATGCATGCACACTTGTATCTGAATCCTCGATAGAAGACTTGATTATGCGAGCAAGAAGGACAAGGTACGGTGCCATCAGATTGGCTGAGATGGGAAGGCGCCGCGCAATCAACACCGTTTGTAATATTGGAGAAGTGTTCCTCGGAACATGCGACAGTAGGGGAATCAGTGGCATCGGCGTTCTCGTTAACATGAGTTTGGCCGTCAACATCAACTAATTCGTATAACTAACATCCCCAATCCGATGATTATGATTGAAAAATGTTGATCAATGTCGTCTAGGCACCGACATCAAGCAATGATGAAGAAGAAGTCGACCGTTCTATAAGGAATTGGGGAAGTTCTACAGAGAAGACGAAAGTACTCACTAGAAATTTTAACGCCAAAATTGGATCTAGAAGACCGTTTGGAGAACCCTAAAAAATTGGGGCCCGCGGTCTGGAGCACAATGAGTGGCTTTCTGTGCTTATCATCACGACCGAGACCACCCATGATAAATCACAATTCCAGAAGTCCCTCTTTCAGCGCCGCCGGACGTGTGAGCTTCTCAGTGGAGAGTGCCGTGACGAAATAGACCACATCATAGTAAACCGGTTTTTTCTAACCGAAGTCGCAGTATTCCAAAAATCTTGCACGGGATCAAACTATCGCTACTTCGTGCAAGGCTTTATTCCGCGCGAAAAGGAGAAAAAGCCTCCAAATTCAAAAAAGAAGTCCCAAAATCACCATGACTTGGGATTTATTCAGTTTATTAGTCGTCTGTTAGGATGATGCCGCTGTTGATAGCATCGACGAGGAATACGATAGGTTCATTGAACATCTTCATATTAGCGCTATAAAAGCTGACAGACCCAAAATCACCAGGAGACGTCTGTCTCTAGAACCACTCGAGCTGATTCGCCAGCGGAGAATCGCAGAGGCTGCAGGCTACCACCAACTCACGTCCGAACGCTCAAAACAATGCACACAGGCGATAAAAGAAGACCTTGTTTGGAGAAGAACGGCAGTTATCGTCGAAGCTTCAGAGGCTGGGAGAAGCATTCTTCTCATGCCCATTGAAGACTTGCCAATTACATAACCGAAATGATCGCACTCTGGCGCCCAGACAGCGTCCAGAAAGACGATAGAGAAAGTCATTCACGATTACTACTCAGATCTCTTCAATGGCCACATCCTCCTAAACTCATATGAAGTGAGGAAGGATGGATATATCACCCCACGGGTTCGCCCTTCCGAAAACCGATATATGCTACGTCGTTGATGAATAATCGAACAGTACTTGTTCAGGACAGGATAAAAGCTAAGCAGCTGAAGAACACTCCGCCAGTCCTCATCAATACGCTGGTGCAGCTCTTCACATATTAACTGTCAGAGTGTAAGGTTCCCATTTATTTGAGAAGATCAAAACTGTGTTATTTTTCAAGAAGGAGACCTCCGCGATATCTGCTTTTATCGTCCAATCCGCTTATTGTCTGTCGTCTACAGTCACTCGACTCATCCCAAACAGGATTGACAGAACACTGGACGAGGAGCAGCCATGTCGGCAAGCAGGGTTTCGAAAAGGATTAAGCACGATGTACATTCACGAGGTAACAAGACTCATAGAAATATCGCAAGAGTACAAGAGACCGCTCTGTCTCACCTTGATCAGTTTAAAAACGCTTTTGACTCCATTGAGAAAATAGCAGTTATGGAAGCCATGGATAGCCAAGGAGTCTCTACTCAGTATATGAAGGTTGCTTGTGAGCTACTTAAGAATTTCACTCTCATAATGTCACGATTCTATAACAATATTAACGTCGACGTCAAAAGAGCTGTTAGCCGAGGTAATACCATCTGGCCAAAAATATTTACGGCTACCTTAGAACGTCAGGCGAAAATTGAATGGTGTGAGAGTCGTTGGTCGGGAATTACACCGTTTTCGACTTGTTGATGACGTCGTTCTTATAGAACAAGCACTAGAGAGGTGGAACGAATGTTTGCGACTTTGATAACGTTTTTGGAAGGGTTGCTTTCCAACTAAATCTCAATCTCAATCTCTCTAATCTCAATTCCAACGATGTTCATGAAGAAAGGATTGGTCTCGTATGCCTCATTCACACTTAACAGAATGATTATCACCGAACGCTCCATCTAGGTCGGAAAATGAATATGATGAACGACTGAGCTCCAGAGTGGAGTAGGAGGAAGCGACCAGCCTGAGGAGCTTTCAAAAGCATCGAAGATGTAGTGAAGAGAATAAAGACCAACCGACTCCGTGCCCATCATTTCGACTCCACAATTCTCCCTGCGTCAACGTATGCGTCAGAAACCTGGTCATTGAGGAAGCAGGATGAAAGATCACTCAATCAAAAACGACGTTCTATACGCCGAAATGTGAGAAATATGGTGGACAAGAATAAAATGCACATGAACGACAGCCGGTGGACAGGAGCCGTAAGTGACTAAATTCCACAGGATATCAAACGAACTGCAGAAAAGCCACCGACCTGATGCTCAAAGGTGTTCACGAAAACCCTAGAAAAAGGATATGATGCTCAACGAATCCCTAAAGCGAGCAGAACCCACTAGGTTACTTCTGCACACGACAGGGTTTACTGGTGCGCGCTCGAATCACTTGACGATCAACGGGGCAACAAGTGATACAAGAGATACTGACGCAAAGGCTTTGATGTCTGTTAGTTTGCGAAATCGTGACGGCCACGCGTTTTTCATGAAGGTTTGCTTCATGAGATTAAAAATGATCGTCTTGATCTACAGAATTTCAAAGAGTATAGAACCCCCCTATATTTTTTTGCTTACTTCCACTTAAAAATTTCGCAACAAATAAACAGCTAGCATTAGGAACCCAGGCTATGCTATACTCAGCGTCTGACAGCCTTGTCACTAATGGTAAGTGGTTAAGTGAGTAGGAACGGTGTATAGATGGTTAGAAAATCTTCTCACAAAAACCATAGTTGTATAAGCATGGTTAAAATAGTGAGAAAATTGGACTATTTTATTCCAAAGAAATCCGTGATAAATCCTGTAACAGACGCAGTTCAGAGTCTGTTCAGATAAGCTTGATAAACGCTTCTTTAAGAATAAGAATAATCTCGAAACTCACTTATCTAGGTTGGTTTTAAGTTTAGTGACATTGTCGCGGAAGCTTGCTGACCTCGTTTTCTGAAATATGCCCTCGAATCGCATTCGTAAGAGAACGAAAGGGGTTTATGAAGCGGTTTCGTTTACATCCTAAAGGATTTGTCATCCGGTCCTGCAGCTTTCGTCGGCGCTTCATCTGGAAAATGAAAACTCTTAACTCCGTTCCTATATTAATAGCAACAAACTGCTTGATTAAGAACTATTAACATCTCCTACATTGTTAGCTTATAAAGAGCAGATACGTCACATAAAATTGAATCTATTCCCAAGGTGTAGCAGTATACTGAAGTCCTCTGTATTCCCTCCAATTTACTAAGTTTTGAGATTAGAAGTACGGCACTGTCACACCATCGATGAGAGTACGGTAGCGTTTCGATGACCCCGAATCCCTTGGATTTCTTTTTATGTACTCTCCAGACGCACTTGACGCTTCTGACAGCTGATTAAAAACCAAAATAAACAAGGCGTTATTAACATCTACTCGAGGTTCATGATAGAACACGACATCAGTTTTAGCACTACTGAGGGATCGTTGGCTTCAAAAAACCGTCCATAGCATCCAGATTATGAAGGAGAGTACAACGGCCAAGAAAGTAACTATCTGGAACTGGCGAGCACAGAGTGCTTCGAATATTACGGGCTCGATTACCGTCAGATGGTGAATGTTCAAGGGGCGATAGCACTTTAAAGCCGATTTTGCCTTGTTTGTCGACGTATACGACCGCACCTTTGTTGTTCTGAAAGCAAAATGAAAAAAACAATAACTTCAACAGTGCTGTTTAATGAAAACTATTATGCTAAATAAACTAGTTGAAACTCTGGATGTTTTCTTTGGAAGTATTCATCAGCAATTAGCACATAGAGGTGTAATGAAGAAATTCGTTAGACAAACAATGACCATTTTTGGATTACATTCGGCCTAACTAAACAACGTTTTATCCTGCTGTGACAGCTTACTGGCCCTAGTCTAAAAATTTAGTCTTGGTAAAAATTCAAGTAATTAGCTTTATGGTTCTTATGCTGTAACCCACCGCTTCTGGCTGATATCTTGGTGCTGTAAAAATGGTGATTAGCTTCCTGTTACAAAAGAAACCATAACCAGACATCATCATCTAAAACTATGGTACATTAACATTCAAAAATCCACGCCTTATGATGATTACACGAACTTGATGTGCCCGTACTATCAAGTCGACTTTTAATTTCTCACAACACTGAATAACAGCATCTTCACCGAAGAACGTCGCCACTCCTCGCACTGTGTTCGGCGCGTATCTGTAGTCAATTTTGCTAGAAAATGTTTCAGTGACAACCACAATGATGATGAGACATGAGCAAAACTCGACACTTCAGGTGCACTTCGACCTTTTCCGTGTGTTCTTGTGTCACCCTACGAACCATTGAGTCTCTCAGATTTCAACTGCAGTTTCAGCTTAACTGTATTCATTGCTGACTTACGTTCCCCAAATCATTCCCATTGACGGGTGATTGCTGATAGTACTGTTGCAGTAAGAATGCTGGCCGAGAGAATGGCAACGTAAAGGCCTCTATGGTGAAGTGAACAACACGTGAGACGCCGCAAAGGGTGATCCCGGTTTTGAAGCTCAGCTGGGATTCAGAATTCTGCTCATATCTCAGCACCATTATTATCGTGTTCAAAATAAGCCCCTATCATGAAAAAATAATAGAAAGTATACAAAATTTAAATACTGTGGCTTCTACGACAATAATTCGTGGAATAATGGAACGTACCCTTGAATGTTCAGCATTGGATCGGCCCAAAGAAGATCCATTGCAAGGGGATTTCCATTTGGTTCATCCATTGGCCGTGGAATCTAGAACTGGCATCTCATCGATCGCCGTCACAGACGAACATTAGGCATCGCCACTTCGCGAGTGAAACAATGTTCACATCGAGCATCTATGGTTGTCAGCATCAAAAAGAAATTTTGTGCCAAAATAATTCAGTCAACCTCTTACCTTTATCCTTTTAGGGCAAATGACGGGTGCTCTCTTCCGCTCTAACCGTTAAAAAGCTACTCATGCATAAAAGAAAGTCGAGGAGGAAGAACTTCAATTTTTATAGAGGAAATAAAACTAACTTGATATGGCTGCAGCCGATTCCAAGTAGTTAAGTTAGGCTTAAGTGTAAAACCAACTCAGCATATCTTTTTCGCAAATAGGCAATTCACTTGAAGATAAAACAAATGAGCACCTTACGGATATCATCAAGAGAATTGAGGTAAGCCGAAATTCCACCATGCATGCACAGAATTTTCTTCCCAACAAGTCCAGCCAGCGGCATCCACGAGAAAACCTCGTTGAATCCTAGCCATAATCTTTCAGCTTCCTCCTAAATTGAATTTATTTTGCAAAGAAAACTTCAACCATCACTTTTTTCAGTGGTGCAAACTGGGACCGACTTTTTCAAAGCGGTCGAGAAGCTCATCATAAAATCCGTAGACCCGATTGATACCTTTGCATTCGTGATTTCCTCGTAAGATCTGATACTGAAAGTGAATATGTATGTTAATATGTGCCAGAAAATTCTATCCACTCAAAAGCATTGCTAAATTATTCATATCAATCAAAAAAAAATTGGAAGGTAACCCAGTTAACTAATCGAAAAGTGAGGAGGATCAAGGTAAACAAAATCGCGACGGCCACTACGAGCTAGAAGGAAATAGCGAGCTCTTCTCTTCTCATTGAGCACCATTGTTGCCGCGCGATCACGTGGGCAGAAGCTCTGGACTTCGCTTTTCCACAAATTATTTGGCCAACATTCTACACATTCCCATCTATTTTTCGATAACGCCGGTGTCCTCCCACTGATTATAGCCTCCTTTTCAAGAATAAAACTAAATTTTTCTACAATTGAAATTCGAAAGAAAGATTTGTCGAGTAAACTGGAAGTAAATATTTTGCGCTAGTAGCGCAGTGAAACACTGAAGCACTGGTGACAAACAATGTAGAATAAGGCATGGATCCCCGGAACTTAGATAGTAGTAGAATGAGAAAAGGTTACTGGCCTACTGGAAAAAAGCTACGTTCTCTTATTACTTTGATTTCAACCAATAAGTTAAACGATGAACTGTATCCACGCATTTAAATCAACGCAAATCGTCTCTTGTGTTAGCATTATTCATTTAGCACTCGAAGAGGTGCTAAATCCAATTCATTCATTTCGATTAATGTAGAACCGAATGAGAACTATGATGAGCAATTACTGGATTATGAACTGCTTGTTGTCGAAATAGGCGAGAAATCTACCTTGCGTGGAAATAAAATCTTCAAGGTTAGCACCAAGCAAACACACTCCAGCGATCGACGCCCACGATCCACATAGTCACCGAGAAAAATGTACTGCAACAAAGAGCTTTTGTCTGAACAAAACTTGTTTTATTTAACGACTAGCTTAATGCTTTTACAGCAAAACTGTGTGCTGCTGTAATACTTTATTGTAGGACACTACTCCCAATTCTCTATCGGTTCACGCTACTAGGAGATGTTTTTTGAGCTGAACTGCTAAGTACGAGGATTCCTCTTCCAAAAACCCCCTTCTTTCCCCAGCTTTCGCTATTACCGTCCGGGAGCCTAGATGCCTAGGTAAAAAGCAACCAATGCTGGGGATCACTGATATCGTTGCAGTAACCCAGTATAAAGGGCGGAAATCTCTTTCCTATCCACAGTGAGTGGCAACAGGCAACTATATTCTCAGAACAATGATTTAACTTTTATTTTTTGCCTATTCTTCTTTATGTCAGGATATTTGTGAAATTAAAAGAAAGCTGAGATATCAGCAAAACTCGAAAAATTAGGTGCGCTGCGAATCCGCGAATGCACCTTTCAGGAGCTCACGTGTTATTTATCCACTTCCTAATACGTCCAAATCTATAACAATTTGTGCTCCTCATATCAATCCTGTTGACGGTTGACTGCTGATAGCACCGTTAGAGTAAAGACTTCACTGAGAGGATGGCAAAGCAAGAACTTTTATCAGTGGAGTGGATCACACGTGAACCCTATCGAGGATAACGCGTGTTGGAAGGTCACCTGTGGTTACTAGTTTATCTCATATATCATCAATATCTTTGTTATTGTAACTCTCAGAGCCCTCTAACAAGGCCTCTATTAAGGCTGTCTCGTGAAGACTTCGGCGAAAACAATAAATTATTCATTTCCCTTCAGATCCTCCTACACAGGGCATGTGATTGGAACTAAATCAAAATGCGTGAACCCATAGTGGAGGTATGTTTTCTGTTCTGCATCTACACCACCAAAATGGTCTTCTCAGAATGCAAATGAATCGACTCAATCGGAAGATGATAAGAAAGAGCTTTCGTAAGCGAAGTGTAAAAAGACTGGTGCGAACGAAAACATTTCAAACGAATTCCTTTCTTTAACTGACAGATTAAATAGAAGAGAACTACGAGCTGTTTGTGGAAGGACCTAGGTGGTATGCCAAACAGGCTCCAATTATACGCTTATAAAGTGCTGTTCGTATCTCGATGACCACGAAGATGTTTGAGAAGAGAAGAAGACCTGATCCGACAACAACACACATAACATTGCTGATCTTCGCATGGAGACTCATAGAAGTATAGACAAAAAAATGAGTAAGAAGCAACTTAAAAAAAAGTCTAAAATAATGCGTTTGAGACCTATACAAAAAATGTTTCTGTATCGAACCTGATCATTGAAAATAGATTACTATTGTACCTCTTCACACAACGACGTGGAATTGATATTCAAAGAGTTTCTCTCCAATCATTCCATTCCATGATCCTCGTTCCACTCCACATAACAAGCACAGGAGGATAACCACTCCGGATTTCAACTTTAAGAAATCTAGCAAAGAAAATCGTGAAGAGAGGCACTGCGTATGAATCAAGCAAGTGAAAAAATCCCTAACCGGAGAAGGAACTCGTGAACAGTCGTGCCTCAGAATAGTGGCTGAAAGAATCTTCGGAATTACCGGTCAATTTCCTTGATGAAATTCGATGGTGAAGAAACTCTTCATGAAGATTGTCTTACCGCTTATATCAAGAATTCTTAAGCGAGTTCGATCCGTTAAGAAGGATTTCGGTAAGGATTTTGCTATGAGGATTATGTGGACCACATTCTAGCCATAGATACAGTGATGGACGTATATTGAAAATAACGTATATTCTAACATTTGTCGATTTAGACCAACCACTCAACAACATCGAAAAAAATGGTGTAGTGTCAAGGATGTTCAACCAAAGAATGGATCCGCCCTTAGCAACAATCATATCTACGACAGCTGCACTATGGTTATACTGCACTTTTCCCGATGCTTTGCTAGTTCTACAGAAAAACAGTTCCTACTTGGCATTTAGGCTGTTGACTACCGCACTGAAGTGAATAACTAAGCCACTCGATAGGACTAAAAGAGCATACAGATTTATGGCAACTTCTTATCGAGCTTTGGTTTTGTCAAGGACTATGCCATGTCTACAATAAGCCCTTGTGGTGTGCAGCGCTGAAAAACTATATGAAACGAAAGAAGGGCAGGATTGCACATGACTCAGAAGCAAGCTCGAGTCATGAAACATCTGTGGTGCGGAAGAAAACAAGTTGAAATGCTTGGTTTTTCGAAGGATCATGGCATACTCTGATATTCAAGTACTACGAAGGGTGACATAGGAAATAAATTATGTACAAAAGCAAAAGCAGCAAAGACCGCATTCAAAACTTTCGGAAAAGCCACTGATCAACTGGCGAAGCCAAAATACTACCTTGTATTTCTGACTTTGATGGTCCACCCAGTGCTCTTCTATGCGACTAAAACGTCGGTTTACGGTTTAACCACGATGAGAATTCTATTTATCACCTATAAGGCGATTGAGACGTCTTGTGAAGTATAAGTGACCGAGGAAGACATAAAGCCACACTAGAAAATGAAAGAAGAATCTTTTAGCCTCGGCATTAATCGATAATTCGGTTTTTCCTGTTGAGCAACAAGGTCAGCTATTCTTCATTGATAAATTCTGTAATACCACGCTTGCCTTTGCTCATCAAGAAAGGAAGTGAAAGAAGAATCTCAACGATGAAGGCAATATTCATAAAAAGCGAAACACAGACGCTCGGAAACGTCACCACGCTCAGATCCGCACTGTAGTTGACGACCGTGAATAGAAAAAATAGATGCGATGCCGCATCGCTTTAGGGACGGGCAATCTTGTGTATGCACAAATGTGAGGCTCCACCGCGAGCCTAAAGTGAAAACTTCCAACAGTTACAGGCATTTATTATATGATGGCAAGTGATGTAAAGTGGAGTACCATAGAAACATCCTCAGATGAGGACTACGAACTAGAAGAGAGGCATCTTTCATTTTTGCCCCTTCGATAAACTCCTTAAATTCCAGTGAAAGTAGGATTCACCTTCCATTACTCGTAAAGAAAAACAAAACACAGGCTGGCTAGTAAATCGTACCCGGAATATGCATAAAAACCATTTCAACCATATCACCTAACACGAGTGCAGCGCCATGGATAGAGGTGCTTTACAAGAGACACATGGTTGTTCGTTTATTCCCGTGTCCACCAAGTCAAATCACTCATCCTTCTCGGATCGGCAAATCGATAGCAGAGTTGTCTGGGAGTATAGCAGCACTGACTTGATACGTGCACTCAATCACCTCTACGATGCTCGATGAAGCTGATACGCACCCCTCCAGGGACTGATCAGCGCTGCGCGCTGCAATCTAGTTCTATCCTTTATTCCACTGAACACATTTAGTTCTGGATATTTGGAAATCAGCAATATTTGAATTTTTTTCGAAACACACGTGATTCTTTCCAATTAGCGAAATCAAGGAAGAAACGGCAGCGACTTAAAAGCGTCCATACTCTTTCCAATAACTTTTTGGTTCGCTAGTGGTAGAGATTATTTCGTATCTATCGACATGATACTGTTATGAGTCGGTTTCAATGAGTTTCACATGGGATCGTAGTCTGATCACAAAGTCAGGCAACCTCAATCGTTGACGGTCGACTTTAATTTGAAGGAATTATTGTTGCCGCCAACTTTGTAGATGGGTGAACACATAGGCAAACTGCTAATATCTAAAAAGGTAACTAACTTTCACTCGCATGCTCCCATGTTGGTTTCCTTCAGAAAATTTGCTGAACATCCGCAACAAATCGAAATACTAAACATCAGAAAATGCGATGTATTTCTAATCAGAGGAAAATCACACTATGGCCCACCTGACCGTGGATATCACCAACGATGACTATGGGTGGATTGATTTCTGCGAGTGTGCTCTCCAATTTGAATAATTCTATGCTAGTGCGCAAAACATCTCTCAATTCTTCTGACGTATATTTGATCTAAAAGTCATATTGAAGAACCATTGTTAGAAAGAACTAGCTGAAAGACAGGAGAAACGAAGGACCCACATGGTGGTGGTGAACGCGTTAGCCCCGGAAACGGTAATAACGCGTTCGTTCCCCACCACAGACAACGGCGGTCCGGGGTTTTGCAAATACCTCAGCATCATTGTGGTTCATTCACTATCGTTAGTTTTCAATAGTAGTCAAAATGAGCTCGGTCGACTTCTACTCAGTCACAAATAATAACATAAAAGTTACCTAGGCGCCTAATTAAGCGCCATTTCTGAATAACAAGAACCTTTACAGAGAAACAACATCGCCGGTCGGTGTCAACTTCACTCGGAAGCGAACTTCTTCTTGGTCGCGTCTGATTTGCAGATTATAAGGTTCCGAGGTTTATTCGACGGGAAAACAACTGGTCTCCTAGGCTTCGCAAGTCTAAACTTCCGTAACACATGAAGAGTACCAATTTTTCGTATTGGATTACAAAATAGAGGCAAAGCGCTCCGATCCTCACCTAACATAGCACATGACACAATGGAGAACTTGCGAAACTACGAGAGAGGAGACCAAACACTGACACTCAGAGGATCCATAAAATTCACCAGCAGAGACTTGAGTGAGCGTGTAGATCACTGGACTTCGATTTAAGTCCCACTAAGTGGGATTCTAAAAAATAGCAGACACCTGAGGTCTGGAGTTTAATAAATATCTCAGCATCATTGTGGTTATATTTCACATCATACCCTGTCATGAAAAGCGAATAGTCAGTGAATAAAAAAATGGCTACATAAACATCAGTGTTTAACCCAATTTGCCTCTTATGGCACTACGGTGTCCATATTGAGTTTTGTGCGTTCCAAAGCTCTTTTTTACCGAGTTGTACATATAGCATAGTCGATTTCTAACCCAAAGCAGATCAAGAGATTAGAAGCGAGAGCAGGAAAGCCATTCTCTACGCTTGATGATTTATAAAAACACTGTTTTCCGGAAAAGTCCGGAGACCGACAATTGGCTAGCAATTAACTATATTCTGACTACAATTCGTGTAATGAATCACGACTATTTTGTTGAATGTATTGGTATAAAAAATACCGAAATAGAGTCGGCATAAGCTGGCATGCACCTCGAAATGCAGACAGCAATATATTCGCGCAATAGACAATAAGACACTAACACCTAGTAATTAAGTAAATATCATTCATACCTTTAAAGCGATGGAGAAAAAATTCTCCTACAATCCTTGTTTAAACTCCCCAACTCCTCTATTTTTGAGAAAAGGTTTTTTTAGCGCCGTATAACTAGAAAGTCTGCAGCCGGCAAAAAATTGCGCGTAGTCCATTGGGGCAGCAGTGAAATACGGTAGCAGGGGAGGAATAGATTGAACACACGCGTGCCTCAGAGCGCAGGGCATAACAGACAGACATGCTTCATCGATAAGCTCTACTTCAAAGCAGTTCATTGTGTCCGGAATGTTGGTCGACTATCACTTTCGCACTAATCTACAAAAGCTTCCTATGGCTGCTCATGCACTTCTACTGAATTGCTCGGTCTACCGAGTTTATCTACAGCATTTAGATAAACAATGACCCAAAATTTTTGACCAGCTTCTAGAATTTAACGCTCAAAGCTCAGATATGTGATGGTTGTGCGAAACGTCGAATTTTATGTTGGCCACGAATTTGCAGTTTTCCCCACAGTAGACGTTGATTTTTCGATCACCAGAGCATTTGAGGAGACTTGTACCACAAGATTATAGAAAATATTTTGCTCTACTGCTTCAACCGTGTACACTTGTTTAAACAGAGATACCTAAATTTCAGCTGTTTTTGGAGCTAGAATTTTCAAAAATTGAGGGCAGGGTTTGAAATTTGATATCTCGAATGCAAAAGAGGCAACTGCTAGCATAAGAAAAACGCTAACTAACAGCATCGCGTTATAATGGACAAGATCCCGATTGCTCATTTGCTTTCATTTTCGGATTGTCAGCCATGAAGCAAAGAATTGGAGGAAATATGTGTTGGCTCATTGGCTCTCGAGATTCAGAATTTCACCGTGATATTTGCTATCTCGTAGTTGAAAATCTATAGGTTGTAACTGTTTCAATTAATTAAGTTTAATATGTATTAGGTATGATGTGAAGTACAACCTTGCCTATTGCCTCCCAAAGGTTTATCGCGTCATCGTGGCGTGTTCCTAGTTGTCGGGCTGCGATGTACAATGAGGTGGGATTCATCATAGTGGAATTCTTCTCAAGCTGAGTCCGGCGTTCCCGTCAGGAAGCACAGCTGAGAGTAAACCAATGCCGAGATACACTACAGTCCTGGTTTCAACTAATCGCATGGTCGCCAATTTCCCTCCGATCCACAAAATGGGCGATTGCCTGTGGTGCTAACGACCTGGGGCAGACTTTGCCCAAGCTGATCTCGGGACTCTTGGGAAACACAGTGGTTAAACCATCAAAACTCCGGAAATGGAGACTATGCTGGGGCCCCGCACAAATGAGGACGGGCCGTCCAAGTCCAAGTAAGTGAATATGTATTGAAACATTTTGTGTGAAAATTAAAGTGACCATTATTTTCGCAGTGACTGCCTTATATCGTGTCCATTTCATCGTTATGCGATAACAATGAAGCATTCGTGAAATCCATGCCCATAGCAATCATATATCACTTCTCCGTAAAAAACAATGTGCACGTTTAAGCTAAATGCACTATTCGTCCTACTATCTACTGAAACAGTTTTGGGAGCTTGGACGCGTAATACATGAACAAATGTAGGTTGTTACTCAGATTACTTTTTAGCGTTGTCTATGGAAATACTTTTGGAAATACTTTTTAGCGCTGTCTATGAAAATAACCCTGCAGCAAGCAATGTGGCAGGTGAGGTTTTGTTGAACACATTTGTAGGGTAATGGATTTCGTTTAGACCAACGAAAACGACGGATAGGTAGATTGACTGGTCACAATAAACCTTGCGCGCGCATTGCTAGGCAAAATACTAATAGTGCTTGAATACGTGAGCGGCCCATCATCACCACCACTGTGAACCCCAACTCATTTTTCAATCGTTTTGTTTCTTGGTCGCTGTTCATGGTTCCGTTCTGTTTCGATCACAGTGACATGCGTACTATGACTCGGGGACTCATAAATATTATAAACTCAATCCCAGCATCGCAGAGTCAGCGGTAAACGCAAATACAAAGTAATTAGGTTTTCACTGGCATCTTCCTCGTAAGGTTGCAGCTAAAGGAAACTATCTATTTGAACCAGAAATGTTGCCGTGAACGATCGCTTATGAGTTTGTAGAACTTCGGGTATACCATGGGAAATCGTAGTGACAGATAGAGGGTTGGTGCGTTGTTCTTCTCGCACTGTGTGCAGTGTGAAGTGGAACTCACATGTCGATCATTGAGCACATTGCTCATTTTGAGATGTCGCTTCAAAAACGCCGAGTAGTCCATGCCACCCTGTAGTTGTTGCATCTGTGAACCTTGGTTTGCCATGACTTGTGAGTTAAGGACGTTTGGCGCTTGTCAAGCAATTGAAAATGAGTCAAACTCCGTGCTTCGATTCTACAATGATATCAAAATCAGTGCTAATCAACATCTTTGCAAAAGAGTCAGTGGTCATCAATTTATCGTTGTTCAGCGTAGTTGACGGCCGGTTCCCTCCATGGACTATTATGGCATTGGTGAGCTTCAGGTGCGCGTTATATTACTTTCACAAACAATTTCAATCAATACGCACACATTTTACGTCACACTGCTTCCTACGTGGTATTCTGGCTATCACGAAATTCTCCAACATACTGTAAATGAAAAGCTCGCGAATTTTACAACATCATAGGACCCAGGACAAACTTTCATAATATTACAACGGACTGGAAGAAAAAGAAACCATAATTTCTCAACAGCATATAATGCTGAGATATTTACAAAACTCCGGACCGCAGGTGTATGCAGTGGGGAACGAACGCGCTGTTGTCCTTACCGGGTAGCAGCGCACTTCACCGCCACACCATCCTAGTCCTTCGTTTTGCCTGTCTCTCAGTTAGTTCTATCGATCTTTTTGCCATCAGCAATCACCCGTCAACGGGATTGATCTGGGGAGCCCAAATCGGTATTGAACCCAGTTAAGCTGAGGCTTAGTTATAATCACAATCTTAACCCTTTTATTTACTGCCTTTTTCTTTTTAATGGCAGGGTATGTTGCGAAATATAACTCGGCAGAAATATAAGTGGCGGTGAAGTGCGCTGCTACCCGGTAAGGACAACAGTGCGCGTTCGTTCTCCACCGCATACACCTGGGGTCCCGAGTTTTGCAAATATCTCAGCATTATATACGAGTTATATTTCGCAACATATCCTGCCATTAAAAAGAAAAAGGCAGTAAATAAAAGGGTTAAGATTTCTTAACAGTGGCAAATCTCACGAATAGAGTTAGCTTTAGGTTATATCTTTGCACGGCGCATCATGCTAGACCATCACGGTGGTTACTTCTCCGTTTAACTATAACTTGTTTATTGAGCTCATAACGTAGTATTCTGCCCAAAAATGGGAGAGAACAAAATGAACATCCTTCCGAATCATCCCGACTCTGAAGAAGTTAAATTTTCCGAAACGCTGTCCGTATAATCTTCTATATCAACCTCCTGTTAGCTTATCAACAAAAAAGAAGGAAAACGAAAGGCTTCGGAAACACAATGAAATCCAGCAACCAATGCGTTTATAGTCAGCAATTTCACGCAGAGTTCAGCAACCGCCGCTAAGTGTGATATAAGTATCTATCGCCAGGGGATAGTGCCCCATCTCGCAGTGACCCTAATCAGTGTTCAATGTTGGCCAGCGTATTACGCTTCAATGGTTAGAGAGTAAGCCTTCCAAGTGCTCGTCTCGTCATGACTTTGTGTTTGCGGTGAAGCTCCGCAACAGCTCCAAGCGCCGATATTTCACCCAAAGAAGGTCACAGTAACCGATTCTGCAAATGGTTTGATCTATCACAGCCTTCTGAATCCGGGTGAAACGATCACGACGGAGAAGTACGTCCAGAAAATCGACAAAATGCATCAGAAACTTCAACGGTTGTACCGCACAACGGCTGGCAGAAGGGGACCAATTCTTCCCTACGATAATGTGCGGCAACACATCGTAGAACCGTCGACGCAAAAGTTGAACGAGCTGGGCTACGGAATTCCACCTTACCGCCCGTACTGCCCTAACGACTCGTATACCGACTAGCACTTTTTCAAGTATCTCAACAACTTGTTTTGCAAGAAATCCTTCAGAATCTAAGTCGAGACCGACACTACCTTCAACAACTTCATCGCTTTAGAAGTTTGTTCTGAGCTGAAATGTGCCGTTTCAAAGATACATGTTGAAACCGGGCATCAATTCCCGGAGAATCTAATATAATTTTGTTTCGAAGCCTATAAACGGTGCATTCCCTAGGTGTGAGGTTTCTTCCACAAATTCCGAAAAGTATATCCTCTTCGCATACATTTATCGGAAAAGATTAATTTACCACATGTCTCGCTGCTATCATCTGACGTTCTGTGTACACGATACAGTAACACGGTAAACATCTCTGACATAGGTCGTTTTCGAGCACAATCACAGTTTCACAGCAATACCTAAAGCTTGTTTTTTGCTGCTGAGCACTCCATTTTAGACCACCTCGCCCTCAGCTAGAAACTGTCTTAGATTGCCTTCAGAAGAAAATGCCTTTTGCAATACCAAAACTATGAAGTCAGAGGATTGGCTATGACGCAAATTTAACACCACATATTGCCAAACAAAAGAATACAACAGTTTGAAAATTCCTCACCGGCTTTTGCCCGAATAGTTGGAACAGCATCTTACAGATCTACGTGGGAAAAACTGATGAAGATCTCTGCAAAGCGATTCAGATTATTGAAGAACTTGAGCGAAGGATAGGAGGGTTGGTCACTGGTTACAGCATTTTATCTACTATTATCATTAGCATATCTTCCTGCCTTGTTTTTGTTACCACCTTTTGATTTAACGGCTGGTGTCGCTAACGAACATACAGATGCTCTTCAGTAGGTTAGCCCCGTACTGATTCGGTTTTGCTCCAGGTCCACTGGAGAGTTGGCCGCCTTCAAGAAGTCGCTGGACGAGATTCGTTGCGACATTGCTGCCACTCAAACTACAGTTCATGAAAAGCATTGACAGGCACCTCATCGTCATCCCTTGTAGAAAACCTGGCATGGCATTTCCCTGTTCTTAAGTGACTTTCACGATCAGTTTGTGATTGTCGATCTTATCTACCAATAAAAAATGGCTTTGCAATGTTTTCAATACGATTAACCTCATATGAAGTGCAACTGGAATTACGCTGCCTTGAGGAAACTTCAAATATCAAATCCTTTCGTGTGATAAGGTACAGCAGTTTAGGATTTGGTCGGCATGTAATGCGCGAGGCTGGTTCTTCGATAACAGAGGATGATTTCTCGGGCATTAGGGCATTTAATTTACGAATTACAAAGATCTATGGAAGAGCCTTTTCTCTATCGCTGCAATCGTATATATAATTTTTACGCAGTATCAGTTTAGTTTTAGACGTATCTAAAATCAAAGTTCAAAAAAGAGTTGGAAGCGATATTTGGATTTTCATAGTTTTCAACCCAAGCGTAGAAAATGCAAACATAGATGGTACATTGAGACACACCATCGTGTTCTGCAGAACGAAACCCCATCTTGTCGATTTGCTTTCGTATTCGAAATTTTAGCCTTGAAGGTGAAAAAATATGTCATGGACACCACAAAATTTTACAGTTCTTCTGTTGGTAGAATAAAATAACTTGCTTCGTGTAGGCCAAGATCTGTAGATTCTAGCGCATTCCACTATAACTAATGAAGTTTGGTATGAGCTGAGATATCTCGGTCTAAAGTTAAAAGCTGTTATCATTTTTGCATCGAGTCATTGTAAGAAACGAATCCAGAACGTAATGTGTTAAAATGAGACAGCTTCGTATGGGTGACGTGCCTATCGCGCTTGTAGTAATCAAGAGAAGAACAGCTGCACCTGGGATGAGTAACATGGATAACATGGACTTACTATTAGCAACCGTAGGAAAGAGTGGCGTTTCCAGCAGTAGAGTTTTCGGTTTTTTTTATTAAATTGCTAATAAAATGTATACTGTTAACCGAGAATAAGTGTAGAACAGTGGCAATGATGCCGTCCAGAACGACGAAGCTGCTTTTTCGACATCATCTAGAGCCATCAATTCTCATCCTTTGGGCAGAGAAATTGGTGTCACACTATTCAGAGATCACGTAGATCCCATCGATCCAAAAAAAACTGGTGACTGGCTGAGATTAAAATATAGGGATTCCTTAACATGGCTCCAGGATTCTGGAGGTCTGAAATCCTCTAGTAGCAGCAAAATAAAGCGGAAATTTTACATTAGACGACACCATAATTACATCGAGTCAGTCTCTAGTGTGTCCAAACGCGATCCCAACTTAGTACAGGACAAGGTTCCTTGTCTATCACCTCTTAATTTATTAACGATCAAGTAACTTGTGCGAACACCACTGAAGTCTCCACTGGTTATTGCGGATGGAGGTCACTCAATGAGTTCTTCTCCTGAATGCTACTGGGAGACTATCCTGATGCGCCTCTCACTTGCCTTCCAATTATTCGAACGCAGGTTTTCGATTGAATAGACTCGTAGAAATAGCCTACATGCAGCCAAACACCAATACATTTTCGCATGAATATAAGAAATCTAAGTATTAGTCAATTCAAGAGAGGGTGTAGCGCAGTGGTTAGTGATGTTGCCGATCAGAAAGCAAATGTTCTAGTTCGATCTTCACCCTAACGCTGTTCTCCAATCCACGTGGGAACGCCTTAGTCCGACTGTCTCCAAGACTGTAAGGAGAACTGACTGGATTAGCATTCCACGGCGTTCTTATAAAAGACGAAATCATGATGGACCAGCTGAAACAACACGCAAAATGTTCGAAGACCATCGTGCACGATGAATACGAGAAAAACGAATCGAATGCAAAGAAATGCTAGAATCCGCACAGCATATATGTCGATAAGTCATGTAAAATAAAGTAAAAAACAAAAAAGCCAGCTCCGTCTTTAAAGATACAAGCCTATCTCCTCAATTAAACAACTCCGTGTCATAATCGTTTTTGGTTCGCATCCAACACCATATCTGCCAGTTGACGGCGTGACACGTAGTATGGCGACAAGTGGTCACGACATTCGTGATACGAGGGATCCGTAATAGAGTAGGATAGTTTTGTGTCATGGTCATTGTCACCCAAAGAGGAGCCACAATTATGAAATTATTGATTCCCTACCCCTACAAGAAATCAACAGAGGTGCCGAATATGACGCTGATTAGATGAAAGATAAAGGATAAAGCAATTCCCAAGACCGACTTTCTGTTAACCTCAGCACTGATTGATAATTCGATATTTTTCTTCAACAAGCAGACACTAGGTTGTTATTGTTACAACCTCGTGTCTGCTTATTGAAGAAAAACATCGAAAGGATAAAGCATTTGGCAATTTCGACATAACGGTAATCGCATATTGAGCCTCTGCAATAACTTCCGCGCGTTTACCGATGTATAAAATCACTGCTTTTGCCCTCCCAAACAAATGTGTTATCAATGTACCACCTTCAAAGTGATGGAAGATTTGGTTAAACAGAGTACGAGGTCAAACTAACCACGCGCGCGTTTTAGGGTACTTCTAACCAGTGCGCTGCATGCATTCCTACTTTAGTAATTTTTTACATAACCCAACATAACATGTATCACATTGGGCAGATGTCTTCGAACTTCTCGCTTGCACGTGGTTTCGTCCGCATGCAGATTTTTTCTTCTTCGTCTTCCTTCGTGGTTGAATGTTGGTCGAGTCAACTCCCTTTGGAATCCTAGAATAGTCGCGATAAAGCGTTTCCACATTAATTGAAGAAATTGAGCTTGTTCCAGAAAAGTTTGGAACCATTTCCCAATTTAAGAATGAAAAAGGGCTTGGTAGGCCAAATGCGGGGTCGAATTAGGCCTGAGTGGGTTGGGCCGCTCGTGCATTGAAGGGAATCACTACAATTGTGCTACCCGCTCCCTTTGATAACGGATTCTGATAGAAAGTGCGCAGTAGCGAGGTCTATATTCGACTTTTTTGTAGAAGAAAGAAGATAGCAGTCGTATGCAAGGACATTTACTCATTTCCAACGGTCTACTAGCTGCAGTTAATTTAACAGAAAAATTCATCATGTAATCTGCTAAAGTTCTTCTCTTCTCCACCCATCCCCCCTCTTTCCACTGCCCCTTAAAAAGAAGAAAAATTTACTAAACTGATGTAATCTTTACCATTTCTTGCATCTTCAATAATTTACTGAGCAGATGCACGCCAAAAACGTCTTCATTGCACAGCATGTCGTACGACTTTCCGCCCACTGGAAATTGTAAAGGTATTTCATTTACATTGCTTTTAAGATGTTCGTAACTAATACCCATACTTCTGTAGCCCAATTTCCTGTTGTTAATCTAATTTCGCAGTGTTTTTAGTTTATAAGATCCTCTGCCGTTCCAATACTTTCGAATTATCTAGCTGAACTGCAATTCTTCGACAGCTTCTTGCACCGATTGTTAATTTTTAATGCGCTGCAGCCTAGAACCACTCGTAGTACTTAATTTATCAGTTCTTCCTTTAAACAGAGGCAACCATCATGTGTTCGTTAACCCAAAGCTGAGTAACTCTATTTCGTTAGCAAAGCAGAAATGGTGAAATGACCAACCACTCACTTCCACTCCATTTCTTTCCATTGCTGGCTCACTTGTTGAGTTTCTATATAAGGCCTTGAAGGGTCCCGTGGGATGGTGTGCCTTGCCTATAGCTTCTCTTTACAACTCTAAATTTGCTTATAACTCGACTTTCTAAATCCAGCAACACTCAGCTTTCACATATTCAATACCTATGGACTACTGCCACGGTGATTTATACGGCTTCAACGAAATCTGTCGATGCTGCGGATCTCATATCTTTACTGTGACTTTGTCCAAACAACTGGTGACTACACCAGTGGTATTCATATTATCGAATAAGCAGAGTCATCTTTTCGAATCCGTTTTTCTTGCAGATAGGCAGACAGCAAACTTGGGACGACGACTCGTCTTTCTTCGAGCACCGCTGGATTCCCACGTCGTTCCACAGCTACAGATGTCATAAATGAAGATTTTCAGTAAAGGCGTTTAAAATAAGACTGAAATCTTTTAACATAACGGGAAAAGTCCACTTTAGCCTTTAGCTTTAACCGGAAAAGCACATTTTATGGTGACACCCGTAATAATTTTTCGATGATTGCTAGGAGAAAACTACTAGAAAGTTTTCCTCTGCATACTTCAATGATGATCCCAGCCATAAAATTGCACAAAAATGATTGCATCATAATTTTAAAACTAATCTTCCTTTAACAGTCGCAAGTTCATGCTGAATATTGGATACAAATTTGGTCGCTAGCACGTCCTAAAAGAAAATCGTCTATTTCACCTTATGTAGACGGTCCTGCTATCAAGTAACAACAGTGGAAAAAGATGTACGGATTAGTTGACTGACAAAAGTACGAGCTGTACTTATCTGCACCACACCGGCGAATCACTCCTTTGTGCATGAGAATAATCTCAGCACTTTCTTTACTACTAAAAATTGACAAATTCCCACGTCCTACTCGTATCGTAGTCAGTGTTAAACAGCACAAGAGAAAACTATTCAGGTGATAGAGACGTCGAAAAATAACATAGTACCATCTCCCATGTTACTCTTCCTATTTGCATCTGATTAGATATCGCGCCACGTAAGGGCATAGGAAGGGCGCGCTCGGAATCACCACCTGCCATCTCCAGGGCAGCGCCCATGCACGACGAGCAGTTCGGGCTCTGCGCTCATCCTCTACATCGCTGCACTCTCCGTCCGAGTCCGCACCTCCTTCTGGTCAAGAAGAGTGCCTGGGGGCGTGGCTTCTTCAGCTCATTACAATGTCCCGTGTTTCGTTGCTACTTGCCAGCCTTCTCGTACCTTCTGTCTACTCAACTTATCTTTCCGAGTCATGGATGCTCAGCTCTGAAAAGCCGACCGGCCCTCAATGTGTAACCATTCCACGAAACCTCACCATCTGCTACGGCATGCAGGTTTGATATTAAACGGATCTATGTGGAACATCTATTTGAGTGACATATACCACTGTTAATAAGAATGGAGCAGAATGATGATAGTTGTTGTTGCGATAGCAACAAAAAATGTAGGCAAAGTCTTGAGTTCTTCTTAAGAAGTTCTTCTGAAGAACGGAATGATACCGAGGTCATGTCGTCGAATTCCGCAAATTTGAGAACTCTACGACACGGAGAAATGTGGTTAGCTAGGATGCTGACAACGGCTTGAAGAAGGTGTTAACAAGAGACTTAGTGAAATACTCACTTGAAAAGCGAAACAGATTTAGCTCTCAATCTCAAAGTAGTGGTCATAATTCATGCGGCAAGATAAGTTGTTACGGTCACCAGAAAAAGGCAGAGAATTCAAAATGTTATGGAAAGTTGCGTTGTGTTTGAGTTGAGTTTACGACGACGATGGAGATCATCGGAATGTAGCGCAGCGTTTGTGTTTTCTTTGTTAATCAACTGAATTTGCGCACTGATTTGTACCTGTGCTAAGAATCGGCTGGTAGACGAACCTGTTTTGCCTAAACGTAAATGCTAGTAACTATTCAATATTAATGAAGAATTGGAACTGGAGTCCAATCTTCGCTCTCTGTGGACGCGAATCGCGTCCAGTTTCTTAGAGTTACATCAATGTTGAGCAGTCGAAGAAAATTTCTTAGTTTACTAGACTAGATACGATTAATTCGAGTTGGTTAAGAGCCACAATGCTATCGAGATGCGAAGATCGAGATATGGATGCAAATTTACCACTTAAATCGATATTGACTATCCAGAAACCAGAGTCTTGCGAGCTAGACAATGGTCTAAAAATTTTGGGAATTTTTGGATTGCTGGGATAAAACCGCTTGAAAGGACGAAATAAATTCCATGCGTAAAGGAAGAAAAATCATTTAATGCCATAAAAGTATACGGCAGCCTATCAGATTCTAAGCATTTCCACAAATACAGAACTGCTTACAGTAAAGGAACAAAAAAGAGAAGGGAATCACTTTTAGATTCCGTTCATGGCCAGCTGAATTTTACTTCTCTATCTACCATCCAGGATCTGTTCCATCTAGAAAATAAATGAGGAAAAAGAGAAAATGTAGGGACGAGTGTTCAATATCTTGCAGTTTTTGCGACTTATAGAATTGTCGGGAAATAAGGCCGTATGGAACACGTCCACGTCTAACTCCTTACATTTCTGTTCGCTACCAATTAATATGTATGTGTAGCATTCCCAGAGTTAAACGTGCGATTTTGTCCTTAGATGATTACAAAAACAGTCATTCCTCTAACTTCTTTACTGCGCTCTTTTTCAACTATGAGTAGGCAAGGTGAGCCATCTTCCGTACAGATCAATTGAGACAACAGCATCATGTCAGCAGAATGCTGCACTCCACTCGATCAGTCACTTGTCAATCGACTCTTCTTCCGCTTTGCAGCCGCACATGGAACAGAAATCGAAAATAATCATCTGGAGACGGAGTAGGTATATGTGTGGTAACAACAGAAGAACGTTAGATGTTTCAGTACAGTCAAATGCGGCTGCCGAACTTACTGGAACACGAGACAATCAACGAGGCGATTCATCAGTCGAATGACTGGAAATCATTACTGCAGCTGAACTGTCATCCCGACACCCAGGTCTAATTGCTTCTTTTTTATTTTTTATATCTCTCTAAAATTTCTTTTGTCGTGTGTATTTGAAAACACGTTTGTTGTCCTGCATGTATTCGTTAGCGAAAGTATCGAAAGGAAATCCAAACAATACAATTCCTGATCTATGAATCCGGTATTACTTCAGCGTTGTAGTCAGACTTTTGGATTATTGGCAACGGATCTGCAAAAACCACAAAGTAAACTAAACTAGCATATGAAAAACAGTAAGCTTTGAAGATGTGGGCAGGAAAACGCTTAGGCTTCCAATATTCGGTTTTGTTTAGCTGTTTTTGTGCTCCTTGTTCGCTCCAATATGTCTACCCACTATGGACAAAGAAATTCTACCCTGTAGGTCACTCTGCTGGGCAGTGAAACAGGTAAGATTCAAGAAATAGCTGTAGAGATTTCCACATGTAATGTTCCAAACGCTACAAACATGATAAAACTTTGAATAACGAAAATCTTATGAATGATCTGGACCTTTTACCTGATGAATTGCAGGGTTGTGAAGGCCGAATGTCCATTTACGGCTTCCCGTGGCCAGAAATGCTGTCTTGCGAGAAATATCCAGAGGACAACGACATGTGCATCAAGGCGGTGAACACCGAAAAACAAGGCAAGTTGGCATGCCTAGTGCGAGGTCACTTCTTAGGCTCGGTGTTTCTTCACTTCTTCTCATCTGCTAACTCGTCTCGAATTTCACTCACCTCCACGTGTAAAACATTTCATTAAATAGTAATAGCATGGTATTGGCAAGGACTTGATAAAAACTTGATAGACCCACACTCTAAGCCAACGAGGTTTTTGTTTGCCATTTCTTATTCCCGCATTTCTTATTCCCGAATTTTCATTAAAAATCCAGATTAATATATGTCCGAACTTTGAACTAATTTAGCTAACTCCGCACTGCTCTAAAAATAGTCCTCGCCTGGAAATTTCAGTGTGATTTGCACTATCCTATTATATTATGCTATCAATACACCTAGATGAATAAGATGGGCGTTTTTTTCGGCGCCAAACAAATTGAAGAGTCCTCGTGTCAGTTGGTTCTCTTCGCATAATCCAGGAAAATCAGCACGTCTCTGGTGGAAATGTTTATATGGACTAACGGGAGTTTCTGAACCGACGATAATCTAAACTCCAGACATCTGCTGCACCACTCAGCAACGTCTATCGGCGGGGTACGTAGTTAATGTATAAGGAACATACAATCCAGCTGTTATCTAATGCCACAATTGGAATAAGTAACGGAACATTCTCTGCTGTAGAAATTCTCCAATAGGTGACTTCGGCTGCTTTCCTCGTGATCTGCAGCGTTTAACAATTTGCAGATCTCAACTGGTCTATCTATGGAATCTATGGAATTAACACGTGTAGGAAGATATGGAACACGACACCAGAAGAAAATTCGTTAGAATGGTGGTGACATGAAGATGCTCTTTTAACCACAATGAAGCTGAGATATTTGTAGAACTCCAAACCGCAGGTGTTTTCGGTGGGAATCGAACACGATATTAACCTTTCCAGGACTAACGTGTTAACCACCAAACCATGTGAGTCATCGATCCCCACCGCAGACACCTCCAGTCCTGAGTTTTGCAAATGTCACAGGATCATTGTGGCTGTATTTCACACAATATCCTGTCGTGAAGAACTCTAGTACGCAGTACGCAGTAAATGAAAGATTAACATTGCGATGTTCTTTTAATTTAACCTATTAATATCCCAAAAATATTGATCTTCAACGTAAGTAGTCACTACAGAAGACTACATATCAATTATTATCTCCTTTTATCTGTCGTCCAAGTCGTTTTAAAACACTCATGACGATGCGCCTATGAACCATATACGACTCATACCATCGAGGATGTGTTAATACTCTCAACACCATTGATTCATTTCACTGTAACTAAATAGCAGTAAACTAAATAAGTATTTACTGGGTCATATCAAAGGTGTATATGATTATGAAAAGGGAGAAGGGATAGCAAACTTCCGTAGACTGTAAACTTCAGTGAATTTGAAAACTGGAGGGCCGAAAACCTCTGATATTGACATATTCTGGATTTCTCTGCCTATTCTATCGCCTTTTGTGAGGATTAGTGAAACTCGCTCCGCTTTTTAATCTGGCTAACATCAATGCGGCACGACTTTATCAATGACAAATCGTGGCTAAGTAGTCCGGTATCTCAAGTCGCACTAAAGACCCAGCCATAATTTCAAATCACCGCTGCGTTCTTCATGTCAAACAAATAACTTGGATTGAACTGAGTGAGAATGAGACTGAATAATGATAATAATGCACATGTTTTGATAAAGAAAAGTGGTGATGGATAACTCGCCAAGTTCACTACGGACTCATTGCCTGAAACAACAAAATAGCGGCGTGAGAGGCGGCATGGCTTTGAAGTGGTGAGATGGCGGCCTCCTTTCATCCACACAATCACAGTCGGCTCAGTCAGCCGAGAGCTGCTAGCTGTCTCCAGTTACAAATCGGCATCTCTCGCTCGAAGTTCTTCGATTTGAGCGATGAGGTGTGGAGGCTGTTCAGCACTCGCCGAGGACTAACCATGAAGTGCGGGAATATCGTTCGACTGTACATAGTTTGTACGAATCACCAACATTTCCGTCGCAAATCAATTTTTTGCCACATAGCTCCCTTGCCTTAGAACTTACTGACGCGAGTGGAAATCTGTAAATGTTCAGAAATTTCTTATTAAAAAAGTACCAACAAATTTTATAAATTGTTCTTGTTATTTTGCAAGACATATCCTATCTTATGCTTTTTAACCAAACATTTCCAACGCTGATTATCAACTACTAATCCCAAAAACTCTTTTTGTTAGTCAAATGCTGCCCTCACTTTGTTATCAGAACAATATTAGAACAGATATATTATAGTAGTGAAGAGGTCGGCAGCAGTATATCCTGATAATGACCTTAACTGCTGTGAACAGCCCTTTCCAAGCTACTGTTGTGTCGTCTGTTAAGCCATTAGTTTGTATCCTGTGATGCTCGAAGCGTAAGACCACCAAAAGGAGATTTTTGTGCGCCAAGGGTTTTACTTGTCGGGTGAAGAGCGCCTTCATCAGATTTGCGAACTGAAACGGAGTACCACGTTCAGCTGCATTCGACATAACCATCACTTGGATTACGGCTTCTCCAGTTGATTGTCGAGTGAATTCAACAGGCTCCAATAATGTCTCCATGTCTTTGTCGCGTGTATGTGTAGTACAGTGGGTTTCGCTCCCTAAACGGATTCCTCGACCATCATATCGCCCTTCCAGGGTTTTAGTAAAGAACTCTAACCATCAGATTGGCTCTCTTCCTGCTGTGCGTTCGGCATACCGTGGAATCCGGCAATAGCCGCTCCTGTCCATCGGTTGCCGTTCAGACGCACCATATGCACATCTGATTATCAAAATTTTGGCATGCACAGTGGCTTTGGAGATCTTTGGTTGTTGAAATCGGTCAGAATTCATCATTATCATACGGTGTTGAAAGAAAGAATTTATGAACGTAAGTAGATATTGCTGGCACGCGGAATATGATATGTGGTGAGCGATTTTCAAGATAGAGTCACATCCAACTAATCAGAAATATTGCCAATAAAAATAAGCGCTAAGTAACAATTCACGTCCTTCAGAAGAAAAACCGCGGATGCACATTTTTGAGAAGTAGTGGGATCTTCAGGATATACTTGACACAATCAAATTACTAAACACTGGAAAAGTCTCAGAACATAACTGAGCATTCGATTACCCAGAAAAGTTTGTAGCGACACTTCTAGAAGCGACTGAAATCCTTTGGCTATAATACTAAATACGTCAAGCCGCTTAGCACTTGATTCATCTCACGGTGGTCTTCGTCATCAGATGCGATTGCAAAGCTCACTGTGCCTCGATATCAAGCGTTTAATAAACGGGGACACTAGCTTCTCTCCTATTACTCCACATATTTTTTGTGCAAAATAAAAACAAAGACATTCTCCGTTTTATTCTATTATAATTGACCTCAATAATTGACTTGTACTGGTTTATTACCGCTTACAGTACAACGTCGTTAACTTCTTCGATACCTGCACTTTAGCGGATTACTGCCCTAAGCCCCAGAAACAATATTTTTCCTTAAAATGTACTCCAGAGAATGTCATAGTAATAGTAAAGCACAGGCAGCGATTAAAAACGCGTCAAGGATAGGTAAAAGAATGGTAGAAAGGTAGAAGGTAGAATGTCAGTAAAGGATAAAATGGGACCTTCCCAGCCTTCAAAGCGTGTGATGCTAGTGATCGTTAACCCAAAAAGGACTCGCGACATTTAGCGCGGCAGGCCCGGTGGAATATGAGCGATTTTCGTCGGCTGCGGTCTTTCTGTTTTTTTCGTCAATAAAAAATTATTCTTCAATAACTGATTAGCTCTAGGGGTTGTAGACATGACATAACCGTAGAAAAGACTGCTTTATCATTCTATGGGTGTGCGTGATATGGATGCTTCTACTTACTGTGCGTTGCTATAGTTACTATGTTGCGCACCTTATGGAACGTCGATGTTAACCAGCAAATGCTGTTTTTTATGACTATTTGACAAATGATCAGTAGATTTCTGAAGGAGAAGAACCAAGCAAATTGCAGTCAGAACACAATGAACTGTAAAGCAAACCCGTTAAAGAAACTACCGTGCAAGGATACGCAAACAAACACCTGATACGTTACGCCCACAGCTATTACCGTAGTTTCCTCTTAACATGCAGTAAAAGGAACGAGCTCTTTTATTCACATTTAGCGTCGTGCTCTTTACATAGGCTCAACAACATTCGAGCTAATATGAGCGGTTCCACTTGACAAATGAACCATACACCTCCTAAAACGGCTTATAGGCGACTAAAATCTAGCCTAACCATAAGCTCTAGTAGCCGAGAACGATTTACGTAAGCTAGTACGTTAACACTTCTTCCCTAAGATTCTAAAGAGACTGCTCTAAAAATTTGGTGATGCAGCTCACTAATAGTGCTGATCCTATGTGGACGCGCGTATACAATAATTTTGTTGTAAACGTGTAAGCCGACAATCCGCTATATGAATGGATTGTTCTAGTGTGGTCAGCCTCGGTATCGATTCAGTGTTGTAGCTTTGTCTAGCGTCAATCAACATGTCTCCAATTTCAGCACGAGACATCAGCTGTCCGGCGTGCATTCAGGTCGGCACCTACGAGAACCTCGTCGACCACTTTTGTCGCAGCCAACTAGGTGGAGAGACAACGCACACTTTTTGAAAACTTATCGAATTCGAATACACCAAGGTGTACAGAAAATTCACTTCTAATGAATTGCACAAACATTTGAATAGCAAGGCATCCGTTATGGAAGTTTTGATGTGAATAGTCAATGTTTGAACGAATTGCTTACGTAAAATTGAGAATACATATTAACAAGGTTGTCTGATGAAATGAAAACCCTGTCGCTTTTTGAAGAAGAACAAAAATCACTTTTAGTACTGAAAGCGAAAGTAACCAGAATCAATGGAGCACACATAAGGTTTCGTAATGGACGAAGTTTGAAGAAAGCAGACAGAAGAAGAGTTCTTGAAGACAACGGTAAGTGTAGTCACAGCACTCCAAATTTATCAACTGTGGTCGTAGCTGGTGCTCAGCGTTCTATTCAATGTCTGTAACGAATTTGAGTTCACTTTACTGGGAGAACAACATGACGTTAACCGTCGAGATCTTTGTAGTACATACCAAGGTCGTCTACGTGTACGTCGCTAATGAAACTACCTCCAAGCAATGCTTTTACAATAAGATCATATGGAAATTCCTGTTTCGTTACCAAATTCCTACTAGCCGAATACCCATACAGATTGCGGTAGTGCATCATTTCTTCTCAGTTCAATGCAACTGATGCAGATACCACAACTCAGATGTGCGCCTTTCGACCAATTCCTCGGAATGTCCCTGCAACATCATTGACGGGTCCGAACGTCGTTTTCTAGTGATGGCGTCTAAAAGCACCGATGGAAAACTTGTGGCGAACCTCATACTTCCATGGAAGAAAGATAAGGTAACAGCTAAAATATTTCAATACAGCTGAAGAGCTCACTTTATATAGATAGCACCACACTTGTTATTCCTACCGCTCATGTCTCTCTCAATCCTAAATCTCGTTAGCAGCCCACCACATTTTGTCAAACGTATATTCCTTATATTCCTAAGTCAACTACAGTTGACTGAGTAGTTCACTTTATTCAAGACTAATCCGTTTCAGAACTTCAGACGAGCGATCCACCAATTCCAGCGTCTGAACTGCAAATCGTTAGGTCGGGAAATTCGAGAGAGTGCCTCACGAAGGCCACACTACTATTCAATGAGGCGGCACAACCAGCGGCACCTCTTGTGACTTCGCTCTGAGCTTCTGCTACTATCACCCCTCACGCAAATTCCGACATAGATCACACTACTCTTCAGCCAGACTATCACACTTTAATCGCCCACCCTCTCTCAAAAATACAGGGTCGTCCAGATCTTATTGTCATGATAACCATGTTATTGATATTTAATACATTTGTGGTCAATAGGTCGCACTTGCAGAGCTTGTATTTGTCGGGATACAGTTTTCTCCAGATAAAATTTCATTCAGTGTTTTTTCAAACGGGTTTTAATTTTTACAATCTGACGAATAGAAGACATGACGCGTACTTATTTAACTACGAATTTAGAAGTCCCGAATGACAACGCTAAAACATTTAAGATTTAGGCACTACACCATCGGATCGGCCAGCTAACATGTAAAATGAGAGGTGGGTCTTCGTATTCTTATTCAGCAAACGCGAGATGTTATTCTATTCTTTATTCACGAAAGCCGACGTTTCCGCGGATTTCGCCTTCCTCAGAGCCTGGAGACGTCAAGTTGACAGCAATCTATTCGGCCAAGCGCTTCCATAACTAAATAGAGAAATTGCTAAATCAAAATTTCAATCACACTGAACACAGAATAGCTTCTTTGCACACTCACCGCTTTCTATGGGTCTTCCACTGAGTATGTCGCGACATGGATGGAAGCGTTTAGCGGGACAGATTACTGTCAACTTTACCTTTCCAGGCTCTGAGGAAGGCAAAATCCGCCAAAACATCAGCTTGTCCGTGAACAAACAATAAAATAACACCTCGCGTTTGCTCAACAAGAATGCGAAGAATTACTTGATCAATGCCGAGGTTAACAGAAAGTCGGTTGTGGGATTTATTATGGAAGGTAGGTATTCGAAAACGAAAAGATCAAAATCGATATCGCGCAAAATCATCTACAGAAACAATGAGAACGATATTTCGAATCATTTTTCATAATTGATCCATGCGATGTCGTTTTGGCTGGGAATAGTAGCCCACTGGATAACGCGCAGTTGTGACCAATGTGGGAGCGGCTGCATGTGCCAACACAGGTTTTTGATCTTGCAACCATCGTACTTGGGTAGCAGGTCCATAACCCTGAAAAAGCACTCGTACAATTTCATAAATAAATGTAAGGTCAGCTCACTACTACTCCGCCTTATGAAATAGAACCCAGAATTTTTAATAAAAACTGGACAAATTCTGTGTCATATATTCATGAAGGTAAAAGATAAATAACATTTTTCCTATGTAGTAATACAGTAACAGAACATAGAAACCTTATAATAGGTACTACACCACCTTTTCATTCCTAGCAGCTATCCTGAAGATGATCGCAGGTTTAGCGGATTGGTCGACATATGCAGCGGCTAGGTTCGACTGATTAACAACACATTCTGGTTCAGCACCAACATACACTCTGCATGTAGATTTTCACAGTTGAACGAACATCGGTAAAAAAATAAAGAAACATTCTCAAAATTTCCACGGTGCAAAACCTTTTTCCGGATCAACACTATCAACAGATTACTTCCTTGGATATATTTATTTATGTGATCTTATAAACTGATCTTCTTA